TTGGGTCGAGGGGGAGAGCTCAGGGGCAGTTCGGAACGGAGACCCGGAACCTTCAGCAACTGTCACCTGCAGAAAAGTTGTTTGTTTTTTTTTTCCAGGCGAGTTGTCAGAAGTGCCAGGCAAAGAGCATGTAAGTAGGCGGTTGAAGTTGGTGCAGCCTGCTCAATGCATATCCAGGCATGGATCCTGAAATCTCGAGTCTGAACTCCCCGACATCGCATAGCAACAAGTCCAGGCACTTCATAGAAGTGATCACGGTAGTCGCCGTCATAGGTGATGAGAAAACCGACAGAACAGGATGTCGTCCAGCTGCTGCATGCTGCGGTGTTCCCCACAGGTATGTAGAACGACAGGCATTGGCTGACTGGAGACTGTGGCAATTGAAGCAAACATTCCCAGCCACGACTTTTGGCAAGCTCCAATCCCCACAGTGCTAGACCGCTTGCAGGCCTAGCAGACCCTATAGCCCTACCAGTAGCAGACTCAAGCACGTTTAAATCTCAGCCTTTCCCACGACCGGAGCTCCGGCCAGGGGACCGCACTCGCGAGCTCGGTTGGGCAGTCGGAGGCCTGAGGGAATTCGTCGAGCCTTTCGGGTCTCCAGTTGGAACTGTCGCCCGTACCCCTCTCATCCGGGCGAAGTATTTGTCAATGCTATGTGAGGCGAGGTCATTTCCAATACTCTTTTGGCGCACAGGCCTGTTGCAAAATGCACCAAGTCTGTGAAAGCGCTGCAACTAGCGGCAAGTTTCTGATTGAGGATATGCAGCGCCAGCCCGGTCACCACCATCTAAAGCATGCAGTCCTTGAGCTCCTCATTTCTCAACACGCTCACCTGCAGCAGTGTGCCGTCTAGCAGTATGTCATGTGACATGTGCAGTGGGTGATGTTGATTATGGTTGCGCTCTCACCCAGCACCCCTCACTCTCCCTCGCCCTGGCCGAGACACTTTCACCATCACCATCCCCCTCAACGCTCACTTTCACCCACACCCAGCCTCACTCTCACCCTGAAGCCCAATCCCTACGTAATAAGTCGTGTGCTGGCAAGGATATTCCCCTGATGAGGCCATGCAGGCTGCCACGAAGCGTGCGAAAGAGCTGACGGCTGCTCGGGCCGGACTACGAGGGCTACTGTCTCTAAAGCGGTCGGTTTGCCTGCTGGAGGGGTTTCTTGCAGCCGATCCTGTTCAACATTGAGCTGTTGCCAGTCAAGGAGAAGAGATTGCAACTCGACGTCGTTGCCGAGCTCGGCAAGCTCGAAGTGTCTCTTGGCACAGCTTTACGCCAACAGGGATTCAATCTCTCCCGGAATTGCAGGAAACTGGAGGGTTCGCATGAAGAAAACCAGGCAGTTGAGAGACAAGCGTTTTAGGGACTTTCCGGTGATCGCCCACGGCTCAGGGCCGTCCTGGACATGCTGCATCCCGTTGTGACCGTGCAGTGCCAAGTGCTTGGCAACGGGATCCAGCTCTGCCACAACAGCCTCATGAATCATGGCAGCGATGGCAGCGATTTCCTTGAAAGCCAAACCACTGGGGCCTTGAGGATGCCCCGTCATTCGTATTTCGTTTGAGCCAGGACCGGCCAAGACATGTCGACGAGCGTCAAATTGGAGAACTTCGCGCTCAAGGCGTTCGCCAAATGCCCGCGCTCCCATGCTGCTGGGCAGCAGCTTTTGTCTGTGTGATCTCATGACTATGTGACTATGACCAAAGTGACAAACCTGGAGCCGAGGAGTGGGAGCCCCTCCTGGAGCCCTTCCACATTGGGGCCTCCGCAGCTGGGTCGTCTTTGGATGGTCTTTGTCAAGGTCGAACGGCCAAGAGGATCTAGATTCCGTCAATCTGATCTCGGTTCAAGCGGAGGGGTTGGGTGTTTGGAGGCAATCAGCACTCAGATACTGGGTCTTTTGCTCAGCCAGGTGAGTGCTTCGAGATTCAGGTGAAGGCAGTAGAATCTGGAAAACGCCACCGAAAGATCCGAACCTCAGGCCACGACCGGGGCGAGTATGTGAATGGTCCGTTGCCTGAGGTGAAGCTCCAATCTGTTTCCAAGACCTCATCGGCTGTGGGCACCAAAGTGCCCGATGCTGAGATGGGCAGAAATGATTCAGCACTGGTTCCAGCCATGTAAGAGAAGATGCGATAGACCATTCTCGGCGTGAGGACACTGCGGGTTTTGTTCCGTATGTACATCAGCTTCGTTGCAGTATGTACGGGACTGCAAGTGGAGCGATGGTGAGGCTGGCCTCAATGTTGTAGATCATGGGCATGTGACGCTTGAGCTTGAAATTGTCATGGCCTGCAGTGAGGTCCATCAACGCACACAAACCCTTGCTCCTGAACGTTGCCTCACCGTCGCTGTCGAGGACGGCAGAGAGGGGACAACAAATTCCGTTTTGTTTGCTCTTGGGCTTGTGGGGCCCACATCTCCTTGTGACTGGCTCCAGCAGCACTGCGAGGCTTGCCCAGCTCGGCCCAGTCTACGCCGCCAGCATCGAGCGGAAAAATGGCGACTCCGCCGGATCCTCTCGGTACAGTGGCGCGGCCTCGTTCGTTGAGCTGACGAAGAGACTTCCTTTTGAGAGCTGTACGAGGTTTCCGGGATTCTGAGTGGTTTTGGAGGTTTCAAGAAGACGGGCGGAGCGGATTGAAGGCGCAGAGTGGACTTCCTAGAGCGTCGTCTGAGAGGCTTGGGCTGAGTCCATTGGGAATTGCTGAAATCGTGTGCCATCGTTTCTCGAAAAGGTGTGGTCAACCTGTTCGGCCAGCCGATGGTGCTTGAGTTCCTTTGCCCGGGCCACTCGGAGGGCAAGGAGAGTTCACAATTTCATGGGCTGCGCCCCATGAATCATGAATGGTGGAGCGTCATCCCTGGCTGTTACAGTATGAAGCTCGAATGGCTCATGACCCCCGCTCCATTTCCGATCCGTGCGCTGGGATGTCGATGAAGGGCACGACTGGGAGCAAACAAGACGCGTCGAACCAACATGCCATGCTCCGACTTTTTTTCTCAGCTTTCCTGTCTTTTGTCCAAAGGTCCAGTAAACGAGTCCACGTTAGGCTAGGCTGGCCGCACACTTCCAGCACTTCTGCTGCAGGAGAGTCTTTGTTCCAGACACTCTCACATTATTGAGCCCTCGGTAGATACATTCAAAAGGAGAGCGTTCTGGATGATAGAGCAACTGAGCGACTCGGCAAGTCAAGAGATAGAGTGCCCCATGTCCAACAAAACAGCACCACTATGAGCGCATCCGGGACGAATCGTACGACAAGCTGGGCAGCGTGCCAGAGCACACTCCCATCAATGCAATGAGACAAGATTGGCAAACTCCACTATTGAGCCCCTCTAGAAGGAGCGAATTACGGAAAGTTCGTTTTTCGCAGCGAACACACCGCAAACGCTTCGAGGCCACCGACAGAGCCAACGCCCATGAGTCATGAGTCCACTCCTCTGCATTCGGCCAAGAATTGCGCACAAAAGCCTAGGGGGGCCATCTGGGCCGAGCCGAAAGGCTCACTGTGTCACTTTCTCCTTCCCTCCTTCCGGCTCTGGACTTGGGAAGAAACATTGTCTGTGCTGCCATCCAGGTGGGGTTGTCCACAAAACGATTCCGGCCGACGGTGCCAAGGCGGGGGCAATTTGCTTTGCCTTTCGGTCAGGGGTTTCGGTGTCCAGTCCGGTGGATGTTGTGACTCGCTTCTGCGCCTCCGCCAGAAGGTTTGCCTCGAGGATGAGATCTTCCTCCACAGGCCGTCGTTGCCCGGGAGTGTGAGGGAACATGTTGGCCGATGGGCTCCTTGGTGGCTCATAGAGTCACAGAGCTCCATCTTCAGAAACGCGGACATGCAGCTCTCACGCCACCACCCTGAAACGCCGGCGTTTACACTCTGGCCGGCAGGGCCAGCGAAGTTGCAGTCCGCCTGCGAGAGGCACCGGAGGGCCTTTCAAAACGGCTCGTGGGTCTACTAACTAGCTTCGAGCACGCCATTGCACCTCTTCTCGCTTTGGCTTGAGAGTGGAGGAGTCAAGGGATTGCCGCGTCGTTGAACTTGACACGAGTAGGGGTCAGGGCAAAATGTAGTTGTTCCTGACATTTGCCCCTGAACACATCTCTCCCGAACCCATGCCTCTACCCTGGAGCTGGATCTGAAGATTCCGAATTCTCGAACTGAACCGTGAGACCTAGAAATCCCCACGCGTATCCCACCAAGCATTCCACATTCACAGGGTGAGAACCTGGAGAGCTCCAGGCGGGTTCCGTGACCTGTTTTTGGAGACCCCAGCTTGCAAGCGAGATTCAACAACAGTTGTCAGAAGTGGAGGAGCGTCTGACTTTGCTGTTCTACCGTTCTACCAGTAGCTTCTAGATGCCCGCAGTTGCCTCGCGATACCGGGAGCTTCACGCATATGTGATCCCATGGACAACTCCACAGGGTCATAGGGTGGATGGACAGCTGTGCGGTCAACCGGCGTTCCCCTTGCATGTGCAGTGTAGGCTGCGCGCGTGTTGATCGCACGGACGGCACGGCCAGCTGGCATATTCACACCGGGGCCCGGGCAGTCTGCACTGGGCTGGTCACTTTCCTGTGACCTGAAGGGCTGATCATGTAGCAGAGGCGTGTTTGTAGCTGCTTGGCCATTGCGTGCCACATGGACCCTACATAACGTATACTATACTTTTAATACATTCCGATGTGGTGCACGGTAAGCTCCTAAGCGACCTACTAGCAAGCAGGCCACTCTCTATCGAGTGCACGGAGACAGCATCTTGGCGCAAGACATCTAGGTAGCCATGGTATAGCGGCGTAGCAGCATGTCTCTTGGCCCCAACAGAGAAGTAATTTGCATGTGGACGAGTGGTGCTTCGACGCACCTTGATGGGCTCAGAGGCCGTGCTGCGTGCTTAGCATGTGCTGGGTCAGTTCGGCAGGCCCTGGGCCCTCCCATCTCCGTAACCCATTTTGTTAAGTTCATGAGTCCATGAAAAATGGGGAGCCGGAGTCTCAGGTGCTGGTGCCCGGGACGCTCTGCGTAGCCGAGATGATGGCTCCCGAGCCAGGACCGCAGTAATGCTCGGGCTTCGGAGAATTTTTTCGGGATGCAGCGGTTCTGGCCTTGTGGCTGTGGAGCCGAGAAGTAGCCAAGAGCATAATTGTGTGCAATCTTCGCAGGATCCCGCTTGCTTCTCTTGGCGTCGCCGCTGCGTGTGCACAATACCTGTGCCTCAGACCGCAGTCTGCGAAGGGTTCTTTCCGTAAGCACGGCTATCTCGAAGCACACTGTGTATATAGTTAGAGTAGGCAGAACCGAGGTTTGTGGTGTTGTGAGGGAGGATTGCTTTCCTCAGCAGGGCTGCGTGCAAGGACAGACCGTCACTGTTCCTTCAAGCCAGAGGCAAGAGGTATTCCGCAACTGCTCCATGCTGCCAAGGCGACGTCCCATTGCAGCTCTCCTTTCCAGGGGAGAAGGCCTGCCGCCTGCCTGCACGGCACTCGGTCCTTGCAGAACTTCCCGAGTCCTCGAGGCCAGGCCGAGCGGAGCCTTCTGCTGCCAGGCCTCCCTGCTGGGTGCCTCGGCGCAGAACAGCGGCTTAAGAGCCCCAAAAATGACCCGAGGGCCTGAGGCGGACTGGGGCCGGTTCGAGGCTTTCATTCTTTTACTTGGCTTTCAGGCTCAGGAGCATTTGGTTTCGAGTGAACCGCGTTGCAGCTCGAGGCCATGCAGCTCCGACCTACCGCATGGAGAGCCATCTGCCGGAGGGGGAACCACAAGACCGACACGTGACTGTCATGCCCAACGCCGCTCGCTGCAAAAAGGCTGCAGGCACCTGGTGGCCTAGTACTTATCTCGAAGCAACCACCGTTTTAATGTCGAGCTGATGTAGCTCTGCACCCCAATGCCCAGCTTGTTTCACCTGCAGAGGATAAGTGCAGGGCTAGGATGGGCTCTTCGCACTGGCAGCCTCCTGTCTTTTGAGCCGCAGAAGTTCAGGAAATCTTTGCTGTTCCAGAGCCACTGGTGCGGCAAGAGGCCCGGCACCTCGAAACCGCATCGGCTTTGCTGACTTGGTCCGCAGCTTCCCAAAGATTCTGAGCACAAGCCCTCCCGCTAGCCCTGAGAGCGGCTAGTGCAACAAGCTCGATGGTGCGATTGGGCAGGCTGGATACTGTGCTGCGACACTGCGAGGACGATTCGGCCTGGGGGATGCTTTCGAATGGAGAGCCTGGGCGGCGAAACAGATTTCAGCTCCTTCGCCTTCGAAGCTCGTGTCCAACTCTGCGGCACTGAGGCACCCCCTTCGAGCTCACCTCCAAAGGAGTCTCTGCGCCGGAGGATTTTATCCTCTCCTGTGCCAAAAAAGCCGAGGCTTGGGGTTCCGGGGGTGCAGTACTCAGTAGATCATGAGGGATCTGAGGGATCAACGTACTTGTATAAGGTGGTCCGGTGCCGATTGTCTGTGTGGTGTTGTACGCTGAGGTGAGCTCCTGCTTGCGTCCCTGAACTGACACTTGTTGAGCCTCCCAAAAGGCCGTCAAACTCCAAACCTAGAGTTCTGGAGGCCTGGCACATGTGGTTGGCCTAGCGTCATGGAAGCAGCAGCGCAAGATGCAGGATACAAGACCGACGATTGAAGTTGAACCCGCTCAAACTCACGGTGCAGGGATCGGTGGTGCTTCCCACGCTCCTGGCCGCGCAGCCGCAGGTCCACGACCTGAAGGCCACAGCGAGTGCAGAAGGGATAGTAGAATTGAGACACTATTGAGACCTAAACCTGCGCTTCGTCTTCAGGATCCGTGGAAATTCATTCGTCACGGGGTTGGCAGTAGACGAGTCAGGAATGACTAAAGCTTCTGGTATGTTGACTCGGCGAGGGAGTGAGCACTGGCCAATATGGCAAATGCTTGCAGCTTGGGGCTATTCGTTCCTTGTGCTTCGGACTGATGACCTCCGGATTCCCGCCTTCATGCAGGATTCGAACCCAAAATGCCCCATCTGTCTCATTCTAAACGTGATTGCGCGAGGGGACTCCGGTGCCGAAGCCGCGCCTTCGAAACCTGCGAACGGACATGCTGTTGGAGGTCCGTGACATCTGTTCACAAGAGATCACAAGAGTAAGCCTGGTCATAGTCCAGGTAGGAGGAACAGTTGCAGCGGCACTGGCAGTAGACGTGCAGACAGCGGTGGTGAGTAGCAGCACCAACAACCCCAGCAGCAAGTCGTGGTGATCGTAGTCGTCGTCGTCACAGCCGCAGCTGCTGCCAGCCGCAGTCGTAGTCATAGTCGTAGTCATAGTCGCAGTCAGCAGTGGTAGCACTGGGTACTGACTAGTAACTAGTAAGTACTTGTACTGGTACGTAGTGGCACCAGGGTGAGGAGGAGGACGAGGGAGGAGGTGGAGAGGCGGAGGAGGAGGAGGATTGTTGTTGCAGCTGCTGGCTGCTGTTCGCTTTGTTGACGGATGCAGCAAAGATAAGGACAGTAGGCGAGGCATTTTCAGAGAGCGTATTCAAGCACGGGACCGGCTGCTCCCGACATCACCAGACCCGCCTTCCGATTTGAAACTTCGAGGATGCCATTAACCCGGCCAAGAAGAAGAAAGCCCCGTGCTGTGGGCCGCGGCCTTAGTTCTTATTAACTGTGTTCACTCCTCGCAGCGTTAGTCCTTATGCTGCTAAACTGCATCTGAGCACCATTGACCTTGGGGGCATTTCTTGGCGTTGCTTGTCTCGTTCGTTTTATCAACTTCTTCGTTCTTGCTCTTGCTCTTTTGCTTGTTTTTGTTTTTCTGTTTGCTTTTGGTCTTGTTCAACTTATTCGGCAAGAGACAATGTGCTTTGATGCGCATCTTCACGCGAAACATGCTGTGGCTGTCCAGCCAATGCGCTGTAACAACACTGGACATGCCAGGGCTATACCAAGAGTCTCTACTTATTGGAGCAAACTCGTGGGCTCCCCTGCCCGCCCCGCAGCCCAGGCAGAAAGACAGCTGACAAACCCCTGGACTCCCAGTACAACATTCTGAGTTTGGACTTGGCACTTCCACCACCTGTGTTTGAGAAGCTCAGGGGGACGGCGCGTGTGTCGGAACCAGAGGCTGCCAAGCGCTCTTGGGTGATGGGGACTTTCAGAGGTGGAGTTTCGCTTAGCCACCCTCGAATCCATAAACAGATTGAAGCACTAAGTCCTCGTGCCGGCTTCTAAACACTTCAATTTTTCTGCATCCCGGGGCTCAGCAGTTTCTATGCATTGGCGGACTAATCATCGCCCCTAATCCTGGTTGACAGGCAGGGATCCAGAGCAACAGGGTTAAACGTCACTTTTCGTCCAAACTGTTGGCCCTCTCGGCGGTATGGTTCAATGACTAGCACATGTCAGAAAATCCCTGATTGCAGGAGGCAGCAGAGCAGCTGCCAGCAGCGTGCACGTTGATTAATGATCAGGGCCTAGGCTAGGTTTTTTTGCAAGCGTCCCTTGTGAAATGTGCAGAGTGGTTCTTTGCTGAAGCAAGGGTTATGCGTTTCTCGCGCGATGCCAGTAGACATGTTGAAGACTTCGCTTTGCTTTGCAAGCCTCCCGAGCCGAACACCTTCACACTCCTTTCTTTCATCATCAGGAAGGCTAAGTCTGAGGAACTCAGCAGACAGCCTGCGTAGGAGTCAAAGATCGGGCCTCCGAGCGACAACGGGTGTTGTAAACTATGACTGAATTCGAATCTGAGGAGGATGCCGCGCACATGTCCGGACGTTTCTGGCGAAGCGGCAAGCTTCGCGAGACAGGCAATGTGACGATGCCTCTCGGCCTCTTCCGGAAACCTCAGGAGACACTGCTGGTCTGAAGATGTCTGAAGCCTGCGTGGCAAGCCAAGCCCCGCCGTTCCGAGGCTCGTGCTCCGGCCCATGCTTTCGCTGCTGAACGCCCTGCCCGAAGGGACAGTGACGCTGGCCTACCGTGCGCGATCTAAGGCTCTCCGTGCCCTGTCGGTTTCCTTGAATTCAGTTTCACAGCAGTCTGCAAGCGATCCACGACTGGAGCACGCAATGTTTGAGTCTGTACTGTGTTTCCCTTCAATCTTCTCGCCAATCGCTGTTGACACGAGGTGCGACAAGCCAGTAGGCAAAAGTGCTGACCGAAGAAAGCGATCATAAACGATCCTTGTGGGGTTGAGTGCCTCTCAGTAACTCAGTAGTTCGTGGCCTGGATCAGGCCATGATCCGCACGGGTGTCCTGAGAGACGCAACGGCCTGGCAGGAGGCTGGCTGTAAACTATAGGTACGTCGACTCTTTTCAGGGGAAAAGCAAGGTCACGTGCGCAGTCCAGCTGGAAGTCTGAGGGCTTCATTGATGCATCTTTGATTCATGTTTAGTTTTGTCTAGTACAGTATCAGGGTCGCAAGTATGCAGGCCCCAGGAAGGAACCTAAAGTGGCTAGACCCGGCTTCTCACCGGACATCCGGTCTCAAACATCCCCGGACACCGCATGGCTCCCGATCAGGTGACGATTCCCAGCATGGTGGCCTGCTCCGCAAATTCATCTCCAACAGGTTCGAAGTTGCGGCTTTTGGCATTCCGCAGCTTTGGTTTTCCTCCGGGTTCAGGGAGCTCGGGGTGCCAAGAGGATGATTTGGTCTTGCCCGCGGCCGCGTTGTTCAGGTTACGGTTGGGACGGCCTGTCGCGTTTCGGGTTTGGGCTTGCTGCACTTTGCCACGAAGCCATGGCAGCAAAGGCTTGCGTTAATGTCTACGACCTGAGCCTGGATGCCCTGACAGCGGGCGCGGAGGTCAAGGCTCGTTTGGGCCAGGAGCTAAGACACGGAGCGCGACTGCCGGTAGTCGCCATCCATCTTGCCCTCCCCCTCCCGCTCCCGCTCGCCTTTGGCCATGGCTGCCCTTCTCGCTGCGCGGAGAATTTGCCCGTACGGACTTTGCTGTAGCTATTTGAGATGTCTCAAAGAAATTGGCCCAAATCTGTGCCCAAAACTCCCAGTGTCTTGAGCATCCTCGAGCCTCCTCATGCCTCATCCTAAACCTCTCACGCTCCAAAGTCGCTGCACCCAGGCGACGCAAGCGTCGCTTGGTCTGCGGCCAGCGTGTTGCGTCCAGCAGCTCTTCGCAACTCGGATGACCTGTTGACCTGCGGTGGTTTTGGTAGTGTTCGCACTGCGCAGCTCGGCAGGTATGTGAAGGTCTGGGTGGGTGATCATATCTTGGAGCTGTATACCATTTCCTGTGGCTGACTGTGAAGAGTTTAGCATCCGGATCCAGTGGACCTCGGAAACTTCGAAGCAGTTTAATCGTGCAGGGGCACAAAATGCCGCTATGCCACAAGTATTATTCGGGAAACACATCCCGTCGGCACTACCAGTAGCAAGAGCCTGATTTGCATGCGTGTTGGGAGCCAAGGCTACGAAGCAGAGATGCTGGAGATGGACGTCCGCCAGACCGCTGCAGGCGCGTTGCGTGAGAATAGCTTGGTGGACCTCCTCCTCAGGGAGATAATTGTCGTTGCCCTTGCACCGGTCGCCGCCCGTCCCTTCGATTCGGGAGGCGCCGCCTGTGGCCTCGTAGCTCAGCCGCTCGGGGATGGTCGGCTCAGGCGCGCCCGAGGGCCCGAGGGCTCCGAGGCTGTGGAGCGCCCCGAAGCTCAAAGCTTTCAGCCCCCCCTGCGAGGATCTCTTGCCCTCGCATCTTCACGCACCGGCTGGACCGGAGGGGACCTTCGCAGGTTTAAACAGCTTCAAGAGCAGTGTTGGCGACATGGGGGGGGGGGGCTGTCGCGTCCGCGCTTCTGCTCACTAGCAGGATTTGGGCCCCGAGGATGTTGAGGTGCTGCCTCTCGGCTCAGCATGTAACATGCTTCCCTAGGTTTCTTTCTCGCAGGTTGGACATAGATAGAGCATAATAGAGCATTGGTTACGTGGTTACACCCGTCCCTTTCGGATGTAGCAGCCCTGGAAATCCACTGTGAGTGCGCTGCTCCGCCTGCCAAGGCACCGTGGCGAGCGGCTCCCCTCTATGGCTGGGTTGACGATGCTCCCTCACAACTGTGAGACGAAGAAGTGCGAGGCCATCTTGGCATGTGCAGAACACGAGTGTTTTTTCGTTTGCAATGGATCGGAAGAGCGAAAAAGAACGTCCCGCTGGGAGAATTCTTTTCAATCTGCCATTCGGCGTTTGACGCCCCCCAGGTGGTGGTCAAGCGCCCAGGGGCGGATGCGGTCAAGAACAGCCTCGTCATGCCGGTTTTTTGGCTTATGTGAGCAGGAAAGTGGAGCACATCCAGGAGAGAAGCCAGTGTCACATTTCTCCATAAACACGATTCTGCACGCACAGATGCAATTGATGCATGGAACACTGCTGAAGCTCACGTGCCTAAAGAATAACATGTGTGTCTCTGTCTGTAGGTGTGTCGTATAGATGTACTATGCTTCACGAATCCCCCAGACAAGACTTCCCTGAAAAGATCCAGCCTGTACTACAGGCGTGCGTCTTGAACGCAGTCCGCACCTATGCTTGCATGTTTGGTTGTCTTCTCTCTAGCCTTCCTTTCTCTTAGTCTTGCTCTTCTGCTGTGTTGATCGCCAGGTCAAAGATTTTTTTCATACTTGCAGCTTCTCTGGCATTGCAAGGCGAAATCCATGTCTTCATAGTTTGCCCTCATACTCGTAGCCCCACGTTCACCAATACTATGAGAAATGTGACACCGCCACGAGCTACCACCACGAACACCACGGACCACAGCACCACAAAGCACCCGCACCACCACCGCCACCGCCACCCCCACTTCCCGCCCCCCCCACCCCACGCTCCCCACACCCCCCCACCACCCGTACAACCACCACCGCCGCCGCCACCGCCACCACCACCGCCGCCGCCGCCGCCGCCACCGCCACCACCACCACCACCGCCACCACCACCAGAAAGCATACATACATACATACATACATACATACATGCATATCCACTCGTAGCTCCACCTACTGGTATCTATATAGATTTCAAGCATCTGTGGAGGCACAGAAAGCTGCGACTGTGTATACGAGTGTGGGAGCAGCGTGAGAAGGTGCCTTGTTCAAGTCTTGTCCTGGGCAGCCCCTCAGAGTCGCTGACTCAGAGGCCAGTTTCGACACCGTCGATTGGAAAACGCCGGCCGGCACGGAGTATTACTGCGTGCAGTCCGAGGAGCTTCAGCTTTCGGCTTCGAAGAGTATTGGTTGGCGCGGCCCAGGGAGCAAGAGCCGCACGTAGTGGGAACGGACCTAGATTGAACTTAGATGCTGCCATGGGCCAAAGGCTCAGCCCAGACCCCAGCCAAAGTCCGAGCAGGATCTGGCGCCCTCAGGCCTCCTGGGTGCTAGCTGCAAGGCCACAAAATGGGTGGTGGGAAGATGTCGGCGCTGATTCTTCAAGATTTCCAAAAGGTTCGAGGTCGGGGTTCAAGGCGTTATTTATCTTGTAGTTCATGGTTCACAGGCTGCAGGTCTTGCCACGGACCCCATGTCAATGTGACTTTGGAGGGTCATGGCCTGGAAGCTTCTTAGTGAAGCTCTTTAACACATTTCGCCGTCAGTGCGGGTTATCATGTCCACCACCGGCATGTTTGCATGGTTAGGAGCTTGATAATGCATAGCCCTTCGATGGAGGGGTGGGGGGTGTTGTTGGAGACTGCCTGCACGCTCATGGGGGGATGAGGAATTCCCCCTTGTGTGTCGTATCCAAACATAGATTGCCTCCACGAACATGTTGAGACAGCCGGTAGCAGTAGTCTGTTGCTCTCGATTACAGCAACCAGCGCGGTCGGAGGTCTCAGTCCTGCGACCACGCCTTGTGGTGACCAACGACTCCGGCCCCATGACTGTCCTTTGAGGGCTTTTGGTTGGTGCTTCGGGAATCTGATCTTGGATCTATGGGGAAACAACATGGGTTGCTCCAGCCTGGAGCCAGTTGGGACCCCACTTACATCCATGCTTTGCAAGAGCAGCCTTCCCGAGATCACGACGTGGAGCTGCTATCGCCAGATGGTGAAGTCTTGACTCTTGCGGCCAAGGACCCAGTACGAACACAGCATGCTGCAGACTAGGTAAACCGCAAAGCTTTCCCTTTCATGCATGATCCGAAGCAGAGCTCGCAAGGGTGTTTACTTGTTTAGAACCGACGCGAATACAGGTGCACGGTTCCGCCGCTTGCTGCCTACAACGCAGACATGTCCTTGTGTTGCCTGCCTGGCAGCCTGTCCGACTGCCTGCATGTCTGTCCGTCTGCATGCCATGCCTGCATGATCCTGCATCTAAACTAAGTTGCACGCTCATATGCATGTTGATAGGCAGGTACATATGCACCTACATAGACATCATGCCTTTGCTTGGATCTGTGCTCTCTCAATCACAACATACGTATGCATAATACATATATCGTCACATGTGTGTACATATACGCATGTATGTATGCTATGTAGACTGCTGTACAGCACTGTAAGCACTGTACTGTATCTAGTCTAAGGTAGTGCGATGTAACGTTGTGAAAAAGCGCACTGTGCTGCAACTTGATTCAATGCAATGTGGCGTGGGATGGCGTGGTAGGGTATGGTGTGTGATCGTTGCATAGACGTGTAGCGAGGCCCACCTGCATGCATAGATTGAATCTGCATTTCCACATCTGGTTGAGTGTTTTGGGTTCCACTCAGAAGTGCTTGAAGGAACATGCACGAGTGACAGTGCAGCACACACAGAAACTTCCGACGCCCAGGAGATCCTTGGAGTCCTTGTCCTTGCCTCACCCGTTGCAGGAGTCTCAGCCGTACCACTGGCACGTGCCCACCAATGCCAAGGACGGTTATGGGCCAGGGTGGGAACTCGCAGCAAACCTGGGTTTTACACTTACACTTACACTTACACTTACACTTACACTTACACTTACACAAAAAAACACACACACACACCCACCCACACACACACACACACCCACACACACACACACGCAGACGCACACACACACACGCAGACACACACACACACACACACACGCAGACACACAGACACACACACACACACACACACACACACGC